CCATTGAAATCAAATACATTAATTCCAATTTAAAATAGTAATTCCATACATAACATAAATGATCATAGCGAAATTTCATCCTTCGTATACAAAAATATATTTACTACTATGCGATATGACCATTTGTCATCAGGAAGCTAGTTGTGACATCTGTACGGTGGTTCAGGGGCTATTTTGCATTTTTGCCCCCATAACGCCATTTTCGGTTAAGTTTAGGGCGTTTTCAGGTCTAACTCCCAACCTACACGTGTTAATTACATTTCATCTATTGTCACAGGTCTTAATTGCCCTAGGGAAGCTGGTTGTGACATTCATACTATGGTTTGGGGGTTATTTTGCATTTTTACCCCTTTAACTCCCTTTTTCGGTTAAGTTTAAGGCATTTTCGGCTCTAACTCCCAACCTAAACGTGCTAATTTAATCTCATCAGTTGTCACAGGCCCTAATTTCCATAGGAAAGCTGGTTATAACATCTGTACGATGGTTTGGGGGCCAATTCGCATTTTCGCCTCCTTAACGCCATTTTTCAATTAAGTTTAAAGCGTTTACGACTCTAACTCCCAACCTATACGTGCTAATTAAATTTTGTCTATTTTCACAGATCCTATATGTCATCAAGAAGCTGGTTGTGACATCCGTACAGTGGTTCGGGGGCTGTTTTGCATTTTCGCCCCTTTAACGCCTTTTTTCGGTTAAGTTTAAGGCGTTTTCGTCTCTAACTCCTAACCTACACGTGCTAATTACATTCTATCTATTATCACAGGTCCTATTTGTTGTGAGGAAGCTGGTTATGACATCCGTACGATGGTTCGGGGGTTGTTTTGCATTTTTGCCCCCTTAACGCCATTTTTTCAATTAAGTTTAAGGCGTTTTCGGCTCTAACTCCTAACCTACACGTGCTAATTATATTCCGTCTATTGTCATAGGTCCTATTTGTCACCAGGAAGCTGATTGTGACATCCGTACAGTGGTTCAGGGGCTATTTTGCATTTTTGCCCCCTTAACGCCCTTTTTTCGGTTAAGTTTAAGGCGTTTTCGACTCTAACTCCCAGCCTACACGTGCTAATTACATTCTGTCTATTTTAACAGGTCCTAATTGCGATGGGGAAGCTTGTTGTGACATTCGTACAGTGGTTCGGGGGCTCTTTTGCATTTTTGCCTACTTAACGCCCTTTTCCGGTTAAGTTTAAGGTGTTTTCTGCTCTAATTCCCAACCTACACGTGATAATTACATCCCGTCTATTGTTACAGGTCCCAATTTTCATGGGGAAGATGGTTGTGACATCCGTACGGTGGTTCGGGGGCCGATTCGCATTTTCGCCCCCTCAACGCCCTTTTTCGGTTAAGTTTAAAGTGTTTTCGACTCTAACTCCCAATCTACACGTGCTAATTATATTCCATCTATTGTCACAGGTCCTATATGTCGTGAGGTAGCTGGTTGTGACATTTGTACAGTTGTTCGGGGCCTGTTTTGCATTTTCACCCCCTTAACGCCCTTTTTCGGTTAAGTTTAAGCCTTTTTCGGCTCTAACTCCCAACGTACATGTGCTAATTATATTCCGTCTATTGTCACCGGTCCTATTTGTCGTGAGGAAGCTGGTTGTGATATACGTATGGTGGTTCGGGGGCTGTTTTGTATTTTCGCCCCCTTAACGCCCTTTTTGGGTTAAGTTTAAGGTGTTTTCAGCTCTAACTCCCAACCTACAGGTGCTAATTACATTCTTTTTGTTTTCACAGGTCCTATTTTTTGTGAGAAAGCTAGTTGTGACATCCGTACAGTGGTTCGGGGGCTATTTTGTATTTTCGCCCCCTTAACGCCCTTTTTTCGGTTAAGTTTAAGGCGTTTTCGGCTCTAACTCCCAACCTACATGTGCTAATTACATTCTATCTATTGTCACAGGTCCTAATTTCCATGGGGAAGCTGGTTGTGACATCTGTATGGTGGTTTGGGGGCTGTTTTGCATTTTCGCCCCCTTAACGCACTTTTTCGGTTAAGTTTAAGGTGTTTTCGACTCTAACTCCCAACCTACACCTGCTAATTTCATCCCTTCTTGTGTCACAGGCCCTACTTGCCATGGGGAAGCTGGTTGTGACATCCGTACTGTCGTTCGGGGGCCGATTCGCATTTTCATCCCCTTAACGCCCTTTTTTGGTTAAGTTTAAAGTGTTTTCGACTCTAAGTCCCAACCTACACGTGCTAATTACATTCTATCTATTGTCATAGATCCTATATGTTGTAAGGAAGCTGGTTGTGACATCCATACAGTGGTTCGGGGGTTGTTTTGCATTTTCACCCCCTGAACGCCCTTTTTCGGTTAAGTTTAAGGCGTTTTTGGCTCTAACTCCCAACATACACGTGTAATTACATTCCGTCTGGACTCACAAGTCTTATTTGTCGTGAGGAAGCTAGTTGTGACATCCGTACGGTGGTTTAGGGGTTATTTTTCTTTTTCGCCTTCTTAACACCCTTTTTCGGTTAAGTTTAAGACGTTTTCGGCTCTAACTCCTAACCTACACGTGCTAATTACATCCCATCTGCTGTCACAGGTCCTAATTGCCATGGGGAAGCTAGTTGTGACATTCGTATGGTGGTTCGGGGGCCGATTTGCATTTTCGCCCACTTAACACCCTTTTTCAGTTATGTTTAAAGCGTTTTCGGCTCTAACTCCCAACTTACACGTTCTAATTACATCTCGTCTGTTGTCACAGGTCTTATTTGTCATGGGGAAGCTGGTTGTAACATCCGTATGGTAGTTCGGCGATCGTTTTGCATTTTCTCCTCCTTAACACCCTTGTTTGAATAAATTTTAATAAAGAAAACTGCATAGGTTTGTCTCTAGGTATCTGATTCCTTTAATTTAACCTGATATCCAAGTACATTACAAAATATTCCTATTTCTTAACAAATTTCATTTATTTTCTAGAATAGAATGGTGTGCACAATATGGCATAAAGCATTTTATTCATATGTTCTGTATAGTTTTACGATTAACTCGAATTGGTAAGTATGTTTGGAAGTGAATGCCCAATTACACATATTGGCTACATATCTCATACTCATATCTTTATCCAAGTATAATGTCTGACAAGGATACTCTATACATTTAGAAAAGGATAAATTACACTGACCTCTCCTAAAGCTTGTAGAAAATACAAGCATTAATTTTGGTTCATTTAGTAAGACTAAATGTACCGAAATTAATACAAATAGTGCAAGGATGCAAAGAGAAATAAGGTAAAATAAACATTTCAATGTAAAAGAGTTGATAATATCATTTTTTTCATAAATATGAATAAATTATTGATGAAAAGGGGTTTAAGTGTTATGTAAATTAAAATATTTAGGGATCCCAATGTAATTATGCTAAACTTGTAGAGTTCACTATATATACATATATTCAAATCTTAGGGGTGGTCAGTGAAATTTACCCTTAGGAAAGTATGTAACATAAAGATAATGAGATCCATATTAATAAATACATATGAAATCCATCGTTTTTGAGTTTAGAAGTAATAAATCGAAAATTGGGTAAGAAATAATACTCAACTAAATTATTGCCACTTGTTCTAGCATTGTTAGCATGTATGAGGCCAAAGAGAAACACATTGGTGTACAAACTTAATCAAAATATAATAAAAAATACAAAAGTTCCCATTAGACCGCCACATCCACTCCGTGCTTTAGGCACTCATATGTTGCTTCTTAATTCATTTTAATACATGATATTCCTACCCTCATCATCTCATGAAAAATTTAACACTAATTGGCTAAACTTTTTCAGTAATACTTGGTGGCTCGAATTTTCATGGCCCGAATGTCTCAAAACGACACAAATTCGAACTACCTAGCATTTTTCAAACTTTTTACATGTGCTTCCTAGTTTTTATGAAGCACAAAAGTCCCCATTAGATCGCAACACCCACTCAATGCTTTAGGCCCTCATATATTGCTTCTTAATTCAATTTAATACATGATACTCCTACCCTCATTATCTCATGAAAAATTTAACACTAAGTGGCTAAACTTTTTACATGTGCTTCCTAGTTTTTATGAAAGCTAGAAAATAATAAACTAGGCTTTTCCTTTTTGGATTTTTAATTTTTGCAATGTGAAACTAAAGAAAACGATGATGGAATCAGTGTTCATGGAAATTTCTTAAGAGAAGTGTCCTATAAACAATCATGCCACTGCTGGAAAAATGACTTTTAGCGGCGTTTTAAAAACGCCGCTAATTCCTTTAGTGACGCTTACCACCAAACGCCGAGGACGCGACCGTCGCTATAAGTTTATGACGCTTTAAAAACATCATAAAATTAATATAGGCGGCGTTTATAAAAACGTCGCTAAATATGGCAGCCAACAGTAACATGACGCCACACAAGCATTCAGCGACACTTTAAAAATGTCTTAATAGCTTTTTTGTTATTTTAAAAATATAACTATAGTGGCGTTTTGAAAAACGCCACAATAGTTTTTTTTTTTTTTTAAACTTCTAATTTTGTGAGATTTAACTTTAAAAATATACCTATAAAATAGCAATAATGAATAAAACTTTGTATAGACATATATTTTTGTGAGATTACTATTCCCTCACATCTATAATAGTACCCAATACAACATCCTTCAAGAAAAAAATCCAAGGCAATTAAAATTATCTTAAAACACAAATTGACTCTATCTCCCGTAGAATATAAGTTCTAGAATAGAGCAGCAGAAAAATAATTGTGACATGCAAACTCTTGATCCCTCACGTTCCTCCCGTAGAAACATTTAAAGTAATTGTGACATGCAAATTCCATGTAACTCGTACCAACACCCACAAAGGCTAAGAACAAAGTCAAAGATAAAACACAAAAGATCATAAAGAGAATTTTAAAACTCACCCATAAACCATGTGAGGAATAAGATCATTACGGATTGTGTTTGAATCTGCTATCGGGTCAAACTAATCCTAAAGTCCAACCATGAAATAAAAGAACTTATTAGTGCTCCTGTGACAACATTTCTTTCATGTTCAGGACAGTGAAACATCAACTAAAATCATGGAAGGCCTAGAAAAACAGCAGCTACCAACTGTTCCCAACATTAACTCAGTTGTTACGTGAAAATCTCAATGGCTGAAATCCATAAATTGATGACAACAAGCAAAACAGATTTACATGGTGCAACAGTAGTTTCAGAAAATGACTCCACTTTAACATATAAGAAATAACAGGGAATAAGTACACCATATTACGTCAACATCAGCACTACTCTGGGAACCTTTCTCCTCCAGCTTCTTCTTTATAATGCTCAGCAGAGAGTCCTGTAACTTTTGTTCTCCACTAACTACTAGATTTTGTAAAGCAGAATGAACCCTGTTGCAGTCCATGCAACAGAACCACTTCCCCTTGGGCAAATCCTATTGTATGTGTGGTATCAACATATTATTCAAAAATAATTCCACTTGAACTAAATATATTCATGCACAAACATAATCCAGATGTACTAAAAAAAATATAAATAAAAAACATATATACAGAGATGCTGAAACAAAGAGATGAAATGAAGTTAAATAATTTGCAGACCTTTAGAACATCCATTTGTGAAATGAAGTTAAATAATCTGCAGACTTTTAGATCATTCCATGGGTTGGGGGGACGTGCCCTCTCTGGACATACCCAAGCCATGGAATGAAGTATATCTTATTCAGAACTCAACATGGTAGACTGGTAGACTGGTAACTAACCAGATGAGAGTTGGCAGGAAAGAAGACTGATGATACCTTATCCTAAATGCAGGTAACAAGTGAAAAGCAAGTCCCCTCTACACAGCAGGGAATGTCCTAAAGCCCTTGAAATTAGGGTTCACTTCAACAAGCCTATAAATGAAATGACCAAACCCCTGGTCCAGAAGCTTACTCAAAACCTTCAAGATAATAGTAGTTTTTTGGGGGTGTTCCAAAGAAGCAGTGCATTTAACATCCCCTGGAATACCCTGTTTGTGATTATATTCTGGCATGTAAGAAGCTTAGAAGCAAGACAAGTTTTTGAAAATGATGATATGGATTTGCAAAGGATTGTCAATGCATTATAAACTATGCCACTGAGATAAAGGAGACTTTCAAAACTGATAAGCTGTAGGGTTTCTAAACCCAGCAGAAAAGGGGAGAGAGACCAGAAAAAGAACAAAAATAAGTATATTAGTAGATAAAATGAGTACCACTTGAAAGTATGCCATCTAAATCATTATTAAATTATTCTGAGAAACAAATTATTGTACTTCTTGCAGTGAAGCTAAAGTGGCACCATGTAATGGTAGGATCTTGTCAAATAATGCAAAATTCCCACTGGATTTACATAAACATAATAACCGGTTTTACCTTGCCATCACATTCTTGCCTAAGTAACACTTCTGGAGCAATGTATGCAGGAGTTCCCACTGTTGATTTCGGTTGTGAATGCAAAACAGAAGACTGAGGAGGGGGGAAAAAAAATCCACGGTCAGATAAACACAGATAATAATTGATCCAGACTGCATATACGAAGAGAAGGGTGATTTTCAGTTCAATGGTACAACAAGCATAAGTTCCATGATGATACATAGGCGCCAAAGTTACCAAATTCTTCACAAACAAGATATTAAAATATAAAATCAAATCCCATCAAAACCACCAGAAGGGAAGACTAGTAGACACACACAGGAATTCCTACACAAGTTCCTTGACACACTCTAAATCAGAAACTTCTTTTACTCAATGCTGATGTGCGTCAGAAAACTTCTATATTCAATTGAGATCCACATTCCAGGAACTATACAAATAATCAAAAACATATATAAAGGGATGGTAGGCTTGATCATGCAATAAACAGAGTTGACTACAGAGTTTAGTGGGCAAAACAAGAAACCCAGCCTAGGCAGGCTCAAACAAATCAACAAAGCCAAGTTGACACAACAACATTGTATCTATAACAAAAATAACAAAGCAATATTAGAAAATAAGACATCACTGGTTCAAAGGGGTTGAACCTACAGACAATCATTTCGAGGATGATGATTAACCTCCAACCAAACATAAGAGTTAAACATACAGCATCCTCAAAATATATTTGTCTAGTTGGATGCCAATGTGCAGCAAATTTGATATTCCTTTTCTTAAACTAAAATTTTAATAATCAAAAAGCAGAAATTTAAAACAGACAGGTTGCATGGGTTTATTCTCTTTTGTGTAATCAAATTAATTATGATTTTACACATATTGGGTGGATATATTGTTCTCATAATCATATTCTTGTATTTTGAAAATGAAGTTCATTTTTGCCTATCTTGCAGTGAACTACATTTCTTTATCAAGCAACGAAGAGCTGTACATTTCACATGGCTTTCTCGAACCGGTATCCATCATGGTGGCCTAAATTTTGGAGCACAGCATAGGTAAGAGATGACTCTCCAGTCTCATCACTTTTGCTTCCTTTTGTGAACAGAACAATAGGCATAAATTCTGGAATTTATTGTTTACTAGGCTCTACTGCTTTGGTTCTCTCTTGAAAATATGTCTGAATTTCATTTTCTGCTTCTCCTAGGAAACAAGGTTAATGTACATCTTTCTGTGCAGCACATGCACAGACATATATTTAATTACACATACATGATTTTGAATTTTCTTGTCAATTTTGTAAATATGAACTTCATTATTTGCTGGTAATAAAGTTTTAGCAAATGGATCCTAGAGAGCATTCCATTTTCTTTGTCCACGATGATGGACAAGTTAGGAACTGACTTCAATATTTGCTCATCAGTTCCGCTGCTTACTAACATTATAGAGATGTTTGCTATGTTTTTGTTATGTGTTTTAGGTTGTAAATAGAATCAGTGAACAGATCACAGAGGAACTTCAGTTTGATGAAATACCAGAATCAATGTCAAGGGGTATTATTAGATTAAAAAGTAATTTACAATGTTAATATTGTTTTTATTTCCCTCACGTTCTATCACTTTCATTCTAAAGAAACTGTAAAGAGAATATACTTTGACTATTGAGTCATGCTAATCACAACTTAATGAATTGTTAAAAAAAATATCAAAAAATTTAAAATCTCAATAATACAACTTCTACATATTTTAAAATATTTTTCTACACTTTATAGATATTTTATACATCTACCAATATTATTTACAGCCCTTTAGATTACCATTAGCATTTTCCAAAACACTTTAGTCATCTAACTTTTTTGGGGATGAATGTTGAATGAGCACATACACTGAAATAAAAATAAAAACAAAAGGCTAAAGAATTTCAATGAAGTCAGTTTCAATTGAAACTATGAGGAAACAAGTGCAGTGAATTACCTCTCTGGGCATAAGAGTTTTTGGAATCACTCTGCAAAAAAATAAATAATGGAGTTTATGAGTGGAGAAGAGAGAGAGAGAGAGAGAGAGAGAGAGAGAGAGAGAGAGAGAGAGAGAAATTACCCTAAGACGTGGCGGCCACCATCATAGACAGCTTGGGAGATTAGAACCATCAACCCAACGCTCCCTCCTCCATACCCAAAAAAAAAATTATATCAATTACCATAGATATTATTAAAGTACTACATTGAATTTAAGTTAACCATGTGAATTCATGCAAGAAAGTCACAAATTTAGTTGGTGGATAACAGTGTCAATTTCTTGTTTTTTTGTAACAAGAATAAAGTTTTTCTTTTGTAAAAAACAAAAAAGTTTGCTTGGTGTATAAAAATATTTTGAAAATAAATAAAAATAAGTAACAAATAAACATGTTTGGTGGGTTACCAGAGGTGGCAGAGAGTGGCTTAATGTACTTCTTCACAAACGCCACAAACTGCTTCTTGTCAAAAGCAAGTTGCTCCTGCAAATAATAACGAATTTCATGTTTCAAATAGCGCAGAAAATATATGAAACGGCTGATGTGACAGATGACTTCAGTTACCTTAACACCTTCTGCAGAATGATTAGCACCAGTATCTACATTTAACGCTTGAACAACCCAGTGCTACACATCAGAATCACGAATATGTAAATGGCATGGTTATAATCTGTAACACATGAACCATATGCAAAAATCACCGTCACATTCTTCATCTAGGAACGCCAACACTTCTAAGAAAGTGGTGTGTTGGGTTGGAAATCATATTAGACATCAATGACACTCGTTAGACACTTCCTAACATTTGACGAACACATGTCTAAGGAGTAATCTGCAAGCAACAGGGGGAATTGTGTTGCAATTACAATAGTTGTCAGCCCAGATGAGAAATAAACACCTTTTTTTTTTAGCTTTTAGGGTGTATTTTTAGTTCAAGATCCATCCTACTACTCGGAACCAAAGAATTAGTAGATCTATTCCGGTCAAATTGATCTATGATCTGTTCATTGAGTCAATTCCCAGATTATAATTTCATTGCAGCAAGTGATTGAGTTCAGTAGTTCCCCATATATATTTTATCAACTCTAGAACATAGTAGAAAAGAAATTTTCGTGAATAGCGGGTGACATACTAAATTTATATTTGAGGGTAGTTTAGTGTTTTGGCTTCACTTTTAATAGGGTTAAGTTCTTGTATTATATATGGAAGATTAAGCAATAATAGGCTAGCAATACTGGATATATACATTAAAGGGCAACACCAACCAAAAAAGATACTAAAACCCCATGGACTTGATGGCAGAACCTAAAAGGTTAGAAAGTAGAAGTATTTATTTGATGATATACTAATAACAAGGAGTTTGGAAGGTGATAGTAGTTTTTGTTTTTGTTCTCTGGTGTAAAGAGCTCCTACAAACCCTGAAGAGTTTAACCTCTTGTACTAATCAATGATGAGAAATAGGTTAAAGCTTTCACATACTGTCAATCCATCACAGACAATGCACAAAATCTGATAATCTATTAATCAATGATGAGAAGTATGTTATAGCCTGGAAATAAACACCATGCCCCTGTAATTTGTGAGCAAAATTGTTTATTAAGATTGAAACCAGAGCAACACAAAATATACATAATTCTAAAAGTTTAAATAGGGCTTGTGTGAAATGAGACGAGTCGAAATGAGTAGTAGATATAGTTCAAAGTTTGCTTGAAAACTAAATAAGTTTCAAAATGTGTTGAGTCAAACTAAATAGTTCAAAGTTTGTGTTTTTGCTTGAAAACACAAAAAAAATTATATCAATTACCATAGATATTATTAAACTTGTCTTGGCAACACTTATTTCAAACCCCTCTATTTCAGCTCTCTCCCTCTCTTGAGGCTGCAAAATTTTAGATGTTAGTCAACTAGAGGTAAATTACAAGAATATGATGGGTAAACTTTTTTATTTCACTACCCAATAAGAACAAAAGAGAGAATAAAAATGCACACATCCCTTTTTATTAATTTTATTCTATTTGTGGGTTTGGTATGGGAATTGGAAAATTTGATATTCACCTCTGTGAGTCCAACCATACTAATTTCTGGGTGAGTGAAACAAGCTGCTGGAATGCCCAAATGGTTGAGCACGTGATCTTTTCCACTGACTTGTTCAACAACTATATGAAGAGAGCAACGCTAATATGCAATAGGTGTAAAATGTAAGCATATAGCCTGAAGTAGCAAATAGCAAGGTAATAACCACATACCAAAAATCCCTTGTGCACTGGCAGGATACGCTCATCTACTAGAACAAAACCCCGCTATGTCACCACATTGATCTGCAGAAAAACCAATACAACACTTGAAACACATCTTAACAAGATTCTATTGTACCACAAAACACTTAAAAACTACATTATGGGTTTAAATTACAGTCTTCCCCTGTTTTAGATTGTTGACTCAATGACTCTGCTCTGTATTTTTGTTGAAAGGGTTGTGGATTTTAGATTGAGATTTGGGATTTGGTTTGTTTGTTTTGACACAGATAAGGAGATCATCATACTATCTAGTTGTCCCTCGTCAATAATTTATTACACTTTTTCAATGAATATAGCATGAATTGATAACAAAAAAAATAAAATAACAATAATAATAACTAAAAGGTATTGTTTCGAAAGGATAATCTCATATCTAAAGGATATTGTTTCAAATGAAAAAATTCAAATCTCAAACAAATATTTTTGAATGAGAAATTTCGAATCTTAAACATATATTTTTGAATGATAAATCTCAGATCTGAAACATATGTTTTTGAATAAGAAATTTCAAATCTCAAACATAATTTTGAATCAGAAATCTTAGATCTGAAACATATGTTATTGAATAAGAAATTTCGATAACATGAAGACATTGGTGCTTCAAACTTCAAATCTTACCTTCTTGAGGGGGAAAAAGAGATGACCAAGTCTCAATAACTGTAGCGGTATTGCCTTCAAGGAACAAGAAGAACCCCCAAAACACAACAATCTAGGGCTTCCTTTACTGTTTGAACTCAAATCTCACAACATAGTCAGGCAAGAGGAGAGTTGATCCAAACCCTAGGGGAAGAATAGACGGAAGGAAGAGCTTGAAAGAGAGAGAGAGAGAGAGAGAGGATACGAAACTGAGATTGTAGACGGTGGTGCTCACCGAGCTGAAGAAGGTTGAATCGTAATCTCTGAGACCGAAGGGTTTAGAGAGAGAGAGAGAGAGAGAGAGAGAGAGCGAGTGAGTGAGAGATTTGAGAGATCAATAATGAAGTTTTGAAGAAAGAGAGAGGTTCTGATTCTCAGAGTTGTGGAGAGAGTGGGGGTGGGATAACATGGTAAGACATTTGAAGGCGTTCAAAAACGACTTCTATTAATAAACGGTACCGTTTTAATTAAATCAAAATGCGACGTTTATAAAGCGTCGTTAAATATTAGAAAAAGTGACGTTTATAAAAACGCCATTAAATAAACGCCGCTAAATCCCATTTTTCCTGTAGTGTGCCTTGAAAAAATAGGAGCTTCACAACACACTATTGCATATCATAGAGTCAGACAAACCAAATTACAATGAACAAAGTCGTGCCTTAGGAATTTACATAATATAAAGGGGAGATGAAGGAAGCAGTTACACAATAACTAATTGATTAGATGATCATCTTTTTCATTACTCATGATGAATGTCATTGTAAGTTCGGTGAAAAACCTCATATAGCATAACGCTCAAGTGTTAATACAAGTATAAGAGTGATGCAATGTTATATTAGCAAGGTGCCATGCACGATGTGCGTGAAGTTTATTTATCTTTCTTTCTATCCGATCAAGTTTCATCCTTCTCACTTTACATTTGCGACAAAATAGAATGTTGATAATAATAAAAGAAAATAAATAAAAAATGGGTGAAGCAAATGGGTAGCCTAAATGCAAACACATTCATGAGTGCTGTAGTGGGAAATTTGTTGAATACAATGAAAATGGTAAATTCTGATTGAACCTTATATCAAATGCAACGCCAGTTCTCTTCCCTACAAATTTGACGATTGGCACACGTGCCTTAGCAATAACTTGAAAATTTAACAAAACACATGTTAGATATTAATTGTTAGTAATAATTATTTTTTAATTGTCAAATGAGGCACACTTGTATCTTCTCTGCAATGCCTCTTTGAGATAAGGCCGTAGCAAGGGCTTGCAAACCAATTTGTAGAGTTTTAATATCTGACCCCAGAATCACAACCTACAGTTTGGCAATTAGGTTTCCTAGTTATAGTGATCATCAAATTTGTTCATCAACAAATAGATCACACGTCAACAATCCAGAACGGGATAAGAAAAAGAAAATTATCATTCTCAAAGGAATGTTCATCTGAGTAGAGAATTTAAATTCTTGCCTTTGAAATAATGTTTTGTTTATGAACAAGATTATGGACATTGTTCCTCCAGACATGGATAAATAGTAAATCAGGTTAGCAAGAAGAATTCAAATTTCTAGGCAATTTAAATCAAGTTCGACACAAGATCATGACAAAAAATGTGCTTTTGTGCAATTAAACATCATTGGTCACAAACATTTCCATGAAATGATATTCTACCTTACAGGAGTTACCTTACCAACAGCTATGTCAAAATCTTTATTGAATCTAATGGAATTTTCTCACGTCCAACAATCAGTTGTAGCCCAATGATCTCACAGATGAAGAAACATGGAAACATAAGGTTGATTTATGCCTAAATTGGCGAAAACTCTACTTCCATGCTCATATTCATAGTTCCAAATATTAGCGTACTAGTTCTCAGATAAATAGAAGTTGTATTTTGTTATTATTATTATTGTTATTATTTTTAAATTTTCTTTTACAGTATATGGTAAATGATACGCCCGCAATTTTGGGCAAATTAAACTTTTTTTTTTATTTATAATTTGCAACAACAAACCATTTTTAAATCCATAATATGGAATAAGTTATATAGAAATTAAGCATTGCCCTAATTTGAATATTTCCCTAATTTTTACTACCAAATTCAATAACATTGCCCTAATTTCAATAACATCTCACCCCAAGCATTGCCCTAATTTTTAATTTCAATCACATTTCAATAACATTTTTCTAAGCATTGCCCTAATTTTCATCATTTCCTATATGATTTGTGTGTATATATATGTATGTATGCAAACGAAGACAGAGAGAAAAAGAGAGGGAAATCGAGAGGGAGACAGTGAGAAGCAGACAGAGAAATTGAGAGGGAGATACACAGAGAGAGAGAGAGAGAGATGCGACATAAAGGACATACCTGGGAGGGAGACAAAGCGATGATCCAACAACCCTTGCGGTGATAGTGATGGAGACAAAGCTATAGAAAAAAGAGCAGAGGCGTGAGTGAGAAGCAGTCACAGAGGCGTGAGTGTACCAATGTATAATCAATTATATATGGGATCGAAGTTGTGCATATATGATTTGTGTGTATATATATATAAATGTATATATGCGCGTGTGTGCGTAAACAGAGAGAGAGAGAGAGGAAAATCGAGAGGCCTCTATGAGAAGGAGACAGAAATCGAAAGGGAGATACAGAGAGAGAGGGGGGGAAATGGAGAGGACTTTGTGAGAAGGAGACAGAAATCGAGAGGGAGATACACACACAAAGAGAGAGAGAGAGAGAGAGAGAGAGAGAGAGAGAGGCGAAGTAGAGGACATACCTGGGAGGGAGACAAAGCGATGATCCAGCAACCCTTGCGGTGATGGCGATGAAGACAAAGCTATACAGAAAAGGGTAGAGTAGTGACAAAGGCGGGAGCGAAAGAGAGAGGGTAATGGACTTGTACACGAAAATTTGAATCCTCCCTCCAAAAATTTTCGTCACAATTGGCTACTAAATTTTAGTCGGTAAAAGTGAAATAAACACTGACTAAATTTTTTTTGTAGCTAAAGATTGCAGATTTAGCGGCCAAAATATTTTTTGGTCGCCCAAAACCTTAATTTTCCACGACTAACACACAGTTAGTAGCCAAAAATGAAATAAATACCAATAAAATAAATTTATAATATTTAAAGATTGCACATTTAGCGAGCAACTTATTTTTTGGTCACCTAAATGCTTTTTTTAATGACTAACACGTAATTAGTCGCCAAAAGTAAAGAAAATACCGACTAAATTTATTTTTAGCAGCTAAATAGTGTACTTTTGCCGACCATATATTTTTAGTAACTAATGCGTGTAACTTTGGCGACTAAATTTTTTTTAGTAGCTAATGTGTGTACCTTTGGCGACTAAATAAAGTCTAGTCGGCATTTTTGGTCGCCGAATGTGTTATTTCCTATAGTGTCTCCACCACGCTTGGCCACCTTTGCGGTCAGCCAAGCCTAATGGTCCCCCTTCATGTTCGGCCACCTTTACGTGCCGGTCGGTTATTCATCACGCTCGGTCACCTTCGCGGTCAACTTTCCTGCCGGTCGATCGGTTTTTCAGTCTGATCCCTCCCCCACCCTCCCCTCTACAACCCCTCCCCTACTCTCCCAGCAATGGCCTCTCTCCCGCCCCTACCCTACCCCTTACTCGGCCTTAGGGGACTATCTCCGTCTTTCTTATTCCCTTCGTTGGACTAAAGCTGCACTTGGGAATGGGGGACTACTGATACTGTGACAACCCTCATCTCTAATTAGTGCTAATCTATGATTAAGCATGATAAGTAATTGAACAGACTGAAATTCTGAACTGAACGCATAAGTATGTTTCTTAATTGCATTTTCTATTTGTTTGTCATAAATTGATCTATTCATGTTTTTAGTTTCGAATTGCAAATTGAAGGCCTTGTCGGCGGCCGATTCAAAAATTGATTGGTGTTTTATGTTTATTAGAATTTATGTGATTTTATGGTAGCTTTAATTTAAATTTGATTTGGGATGATTAAATTAGAGTTATTTAAGTTAAAGTACATTAGTTGGACTTAATTACATTTTTGCCATACTAGTGGGCCACTTTGTCAAAAATATCGTTTAGAGCTTAGTTGCATCATTCTTCATCCTTTTCTAGAGGAAAACAGTGAGAGAGAAGGAGAGTAAAGGAAAATTGGTTTCATCATGAGTTTTGCTTGGAAACTTAGAAGATTTGAAGAGGAATTGCATAATTAAGCTTCCATACTTGAAATTGAAGACCTAAGGTAGAGATTTCATCCTCTCATTTGTGATTTGAGTTGTATCTTGCATGGTCCATGGTAAATTAGTGTTTAGATTCAAGAATTGGTTTTAAGAGTCAAGTTTGAGAGTGAATTCATGCATGCATGTCTATACCATAGCATTTTGAGGTTGTTCTTCATGAATTTCCACATGCATGTCCACATTTTTGTTATAGAAATGTAGACGCGCCCGAATGTCCCGGGAAAATCCTGCTTTGTTCATTGGGCTCACTACAGTTCGGACTCAATGTCACGGTTCTGAATCTAATCTCACAAAGTGCAATGCAATATCGATAAATCACCAAAGAGTCCAAATCCGACAAATCGTTTTGAAAAACTGATTTTAGAAAGAAGTGCCAAACATGGACTGTTTTGCCAGATACAGAGTTGCCACCTAAATGTTTTTATTTTGGGAATTTTAGGAAACCTGACTCATACCTAAGGCCACGTGTCCGTCATCACCAAAGTTGCTTCGGCTTGAGAACTTGGGTACGAGAAGGGAAGGTCATGCAATGAGCACCCCCGCTCGCCTGATCAAAGATCGGCCACTACTAAACATGATATCTTGTTTTTTGAAAACAAATGCGCTCTTATTCCGGTTTATTAGCCTAGAATTACTATGTGATGCGCACAACACACAAGTATAGAGTAGATCGCCTAATTTGGAACAAAACATCGCATATCCGTTTGTTTGGAAATAGCTTGAAGTTTGCTACTCGCAAGTAGGCTAAAACACGAATTTCAATGAATCGTCCCAATTCAAGTAATCCAACCTTCACCCACAGGCATTCAGGCAGTTATATCACATAAGCAGTTAGCCTCATGGCAAGCATGCTATCATGGCAGTCACTCACACACATGCAGGGATGCTAAAGCATAAACACTTACCGAGTGCTCCGAGCCAAAACAAAAGCTAGGTTAGAAATCAATGCATGATCCTAGCTATGTCAAGAATGCCTAATGCAACACATACAAAATGCAACTAAGATAGGCTCGGCTATTCTAAGATGGCATATGAGACGCTACAGATAACACGCATTTAACTTGGAATTGAAATACGATGCAGTTAGTATGATGCGCCGAACCCGATGCATGCAAGACAGATGAATGGATGCAAACATGCGAGCATAAGGATGCTAATTGAAACATGC